ACTTGGGCCGGTAGTTGTTTTCGGAGCGAGTAACTTTCCATTGGCCTATTCTACGGCTGGAGGAGATACGGCAAGTGCACTTGCGGCTGGATGTCCGGTAATTGTGAAAGGACACCCAATGCACGCAGGAACATCTGAGTTGGTGGCATCGGCGGTAATTAAAGCTGCAGAAGCGACTGGAATGCCAGATGGTGTCTTCTCGAACCTGAACAGTAAGGGAATCGAAGTGGGATCCAAATTAGTTCAGCATCCTGAAGTAAAAGGTGTTGGGTTTACAGGAAGTATTCGTGGAGGTCGTGCATTGCATGATTTGGCTGCGGCGCGTAAAGAACCAATTCCAGTATTTGCAGAAATGGGAAGCGTAAACCCGGTTGTTTTGATGCCGGAATACCTAGAAAAGAATGCTGGGGCATTGGCAAAAACATATGCTGGTTCCATTACATTGGGAACAGGGCAGTTCTGTACAAATCCAGGATTGATTCTTGGGTTGAAAAGCGAAGCACTTGATCAGTTCTCACAGCAATTGGGAGATGAAATCGTTCAGATTGATCCAATGTGTATGCTTCACCCTGCAATTGAAAACAATTTCACTTCTGGAAAGACAGCAATGGTTGAGCAAGGTGTTCAAATTCTAAATGAGTTTACAGCTGAAATTGAGCCCAACTATGCACGTCAGATGGTGGCAACAGTCGATGGGAAAACGTTCTTGTCAAACAATTCGCTTCACGAAGAAGTATTCGGACCATATTCATTGGTGATCCAGTGTGATGATTTAAATGAATTGACGGAAATCGTTTGGACATTGGAAGGTCAGTTGACTGGAACGATCATGGCAGAAGCGAATGAAATTGGAGAAAACAAGCAATTGATTCGTGCGATGCAAGATCGTGTTGGTCGTTTGATTTTTAATGGAGTTCCAACAGGTGTTGAAGTATGTCCATCCATGTTGCATGGTGGTCCATATCCTGCATCTACTGATTCGCGATTTACAGCGGTTGGAACAGATTCAATTAAACGTTGGGTGCGCCCGGTTTCGTATCAGAACTGGCCAAATGAGCATTTACCAACTGAATTGAAGAATGAAAATCCATTGAATATTAGCCGTAAGGTGAACAACATCGATACGCGCGAAGCAATTTAATATATGGCGAGTAAGACGTTTTTTTGTGTGGATGCGCACACCTGTGGAAATCCGGTACGTTTGGTGGCGGGTGGAGGTCCATTGTTGGATGGAAATTCAATGAGTGAGCGCAGACAGCATTTTTTAAAAGAATATGATTGGATTCGTAAAGGATTAATGTTTGAGCCCCGAGGTCATGATATGATGTCGGGGAGCATTCTATATCCTCCTGTGGATCCAACGAATGATATTGGAGTTTTGTTTATCGAAAC